CCCCCCTCCTCTGTGCCTTAACCAGTAGCCTTTGGCCCTTACGGTCTCTTCTTTCATTGACACATTTGCAGCCCTTCATCTAGGAGATTGCATGAGCCTGGCGTCCTAAGCTCCGATACAGCAAGGTTGGTAGGCTTCCGCTTCTATCAGGGCTGGGAGGTTGCCCCAGCCTTGGTGCTTGTCACTGCTGTCCGGTCCAAGTTGCCCTCGATACTGGTAGGGTGATGGTCCTGAGTGCTGGTCACACTGAGGAAGAATAGTAGGGACAAGGGGTGCGCTGGGAGTATTAAACCACCAGTACTCGGCCCAGCTATCGGCCGCGGGCGGCGATTCCCGTTAACGCGCCGGTAGTTGTGGGCTTTGGGGCACCACTGCAATGACTGGAAGCGCCAGCCAAAATCAAAACAAAACGGTGCCCCGACGGCTCGGCAAAACTTGGTGCACAGGGGGTATCCCGGCTCGGCATCAATAGCTGGACCAAGTAATGGTGGTTTAACATGTGGATGGATAGGGTAGGTGGCCTATCCTGTCAGGACAACCATGGACTGCCGCGACCAGCAATCACCGGCGGGGCTGGTCCTTGGCCTCTACAAAACCCTGGGCTTAAAAAAAAAAAAAAAAAAAAAAAAAAAAAAACATTTTTTTTTAATTTAAAAAAAAAAAAAAAAAAAAAAAAAAACAACCCTGCCCAATCGGTCGGGATGATACGAATATGTAACTGTAACTAAACAGACCCTGGAGAATGAAGAGCCCTATCTGGATGGCACACTAAGTAAGTAAGCATAGCCCTGCTCGAATCAGGGCCCTCGTTCGGATATATTGGGCCTGGGCGGACCACTCACCACATTCGAAAAGGACAAAAGCAATGGCGGGCGTATCTTTCTACGTTCTCGCGGGAGATACATTCTCCATTTTGCACATTCGGTGAGTGGTGCGGCCAGGCACAATAAAGGCCTACTCCCTTGGAAAAGTTCAACTGTGGTGAGCACAAAACCCCCTCCCCTTCCCCCTCCTCGCCCTCCCCCC